AACTAAACTTCACTCTTTATTTTGGTGTTTTAAATCAGGGCACATGCATTTTAAAGGTTTGCTGAGGTGGTAAATGTAGTTTTATGGGTTTATTTAGAATGAAGTGTTTTCATATCGGCTCATTAACCCAAAAAGAGCTGTTGTAAGAGGGTTGCGAAGCCCAGAGGAACAATTATTATTATTTTCAGTGGTATTTGTCATGGCAGTGATATAAGCTCTAAAGATAGAACATGATTTTTGGCGCTGTTGAAGTAAATTCAAGAGTAATCAGATTATAGCTGATGTAATTTAGATGTTTGGAGGTGGGGAATTTTCTGATAGCAAAATCTAATATATGTGGCTCCCAAAATGAAAGCCTCTCTCCGCGGGTGACCTTCGCCAAGGGAAACATTTTCAATGTGGTCATACTGACAAGTTATAACTTATAAACTTACTTTCCTGGAAGGTTTTGGTTTGAAGATGACTTTGGATTTTGAATCCAGCCTGAAATAAAAGTGGGGGTTGGGGAAAATAAAGGCCTTTTTCTCTATACTTTACCACCTTTCGGTTTAAATTGACCTCCACATCACTTAACAATAGCTTCTGTCTTCCATTTGTTACTCATTTCATGCGTGATAAGCATCATTATATGCACTTTGCAGTTTCTCACATGTACTGACAGAAAAGAGAACTAAAGCCTGGAAGAGTAACTTATGCAAAGTTAGTGACACGGTTAATAAGTCATAAGAGCAGAATTAAATTCTAGATATGAGTCAAGGGTTGATGCTTTCATCTCCTATGCTGTGATCTCTGTTTTGTATCCCAACTACATACAAATGAGTCATTCTCCAGAGCTTGCTGGCGAGCTGTCTTGTGGCTTGTCATTTCAGTGTCCCCATAGCACCAAACAGGTGTCTAAATGTTTCTTAAATCCAATTTTCCAGAGCTACTAATTCCTCATCTCTACTAGGGAAAGAATGAAAGTTTAAAATACAACACTCGGGTTTCAAAAAAGGAGGAAGTACTTAAGCTCTTGAATTATTTCAGAAGCCTTGAAATAATCACCCTTCAGATGGCACTGGGATATAATTCCTTTCCTCCTCTCGATTTCCTCCCTCATTTCTGCAACCAAACAAAGAGGTAGCCTCTCTGTGTTCTTGATATCATTCCAGTAGGAATCTTTACTTATAATGATGTTACATCTTATTAATACTGGAAAGTCTTTTGCAAGCATAATGCAGTCCATTTGGTTAACTTCGTGTGGAACTCCTAAAAACTGACCTCTTGCAAAGTGGTCTGAGTATTTTCCTTCTCTTTTTGAGAACATCTTAAAATAACTTACAATGATAGGTACGAATAAATAGAAGAACTAAACCTTATTAGTGACTTATTACCTGAATGAATATACTGTGTGTAGGTTTAAAGCAGGTGGTAAGTTCTTGCTTTGAAAGCAGGAAGCGACCGAGAGCGGTGGCTCACACTTGTAATCCCAGCACTTTGGGGGGCTGAGGTGGGTGGATCATTTGAGGTTAGGATTTTGAGACCAGCCTGGCAAACATGGTGAAACTCCACCTATACTAAATATACAAAAATTAGCTGGGAGTGTTACACACACCTGTAGTCCCAGCTACTCAGGAGCCTGAGGTAGAAGAATCACTTGAACCCAGGAAACATATGCCCTGAAATTTCCAGGATTGAAACAACTGTGGAACTTGACAAAGAGTGTATATGGTATAATTAAGAAGTTTACTCAGGAATTTCTTACCATTTTGAAAAGTTACATCCCCAGAGGCAATGTTCCTTGTGGAATCAAAATCATTTATAAACCATGATTTGTTAAGTCTGTGGATGCTGTGTTCACCATGTCCTATGTAGAGAATAAATGTTATTCACTATTATTTTCTTAAAAGTGTGCATTTGCATATTGAAGCATTATAAAGCACCTCTTTGTTATTTCTTCTCTATAATTATGGTATTGTATTATTTTCTCCATTTATGTGACTAGATAGGTTTTATTTCCATGTGTTTCATTTGCGGATAGTAAGTGAACATGACCAGAATTCATAACACTTAAGCTTTCAGTTAGGGCCAATTTTGTCTTCTCATGGTCATTTGAACCCTGAAAATGTCCAGTTACTATTTATTCATTAAGGGCTTGAGCATATTAGTATCTACAGGGTAGACCTCTCTGCAGGGGTCTGGGCCTTTTACTTATCTGCCCCATGGCCGTAACACTTAGATGTCTGTTAAGCCCTACAAAGTCAACTAATATCTGGGCTGAACAGATTCATTATACCACAAATGGGCTCCTATTCCCCTATTCCAACCTTAGTGGGCAAGAATCATGGGCTCTGGTGCCAATATCCAATTAAATGATACTTCCTCATCCTCACTCACCAGCCTGGGCCAATTCATCGGCACCTCTTACTTGGATAGGTGCTTCCTGACTTGTCACTTAATCTCCTGTCTTACTCCTTTCTTTTTATATTTTCTCCCTCTGCTGAGATTAAAATTTGATCATGTTTATAATCCTTCATAGGTTTCCAAGTGTCCTGCTTTAAGGTTCAAATTGCTGTATATGGTTCATAAGGCCATGTACAATCTGGCCCCTTCCTACCCTCCCATCCTCATCTCCAGTTGTTAATCTTCTCACCCTCTATGCTCTAATTTTGGTTGGATCCCTTTCAGTTTATTACATGATATTTTCTTTCTTGCCTCTTGCTGTTCTCCTTATAGAATATACTAGCCTGATTGATCGCTAAGCTTACCCTTACTCATTCTTTAAGTATCAGCTTAATCCATACTTTTTCTAAAGTGGTTTTTCCTTACCCCTTGAGTTACTTATGATCTCCCTTGACAACTTATACTTTTCTATTTTCATGCTTCTTTGCTTGTATAATTATCTGCTGTTGCCATTCAATTATGAGCTCTAAAGAAACTTTGCTTGTCTTTTAAAATGAATTTTACCTTCAAATGTTAGCACAGTAGCTACTCTGTAAATGTTTGAGCAATAAATAAATACATAACAAATAATAAGGCATTTAAAAATACTTTAGTATCTATGATCCATAACCAAGATGAGTCTAATCAAGCAATCGTTATGTACAATGTGAGAAGTGTTTTACATTTTTTATTTCATTAAAACATTCTGCTCATGACCAACTAATAGGCTGCCACCTGTAGTTTCAAAAACGCTGTTATGACTGCTCTGTTGATGTGAAAATCATTTCTAATTGATGATATTTTTAGTAATTGCATTCATTAGGAGATGGTCACATTCTTTTTGACTTTTTTCTCTGAATATTAAAATCACAGTGGAGCTCTGTGATATTTATAACCTCTAGATAGTTGGACTTTTCAGCTTTAAACTATAGACATAATAACTTAAAAAAATCTTGTGCAGTGTGTGTAGCGGTGTGTGTTTTGTGTGTAATTTACATTTGTGTTATAAATATTGAGACACTGAAACTCAGGTACTCTAACCAGCATGGTAGACTCACAATTTTGGAACAGAACTGAAAAGCCATCTAATGCTTTATGTGATCCCCTTTCTGAAGGTCTACACAATTCTTTATAATATTTCATGTGTTCCTTGGAAAGAACCACTGTTAGAAAGATTTTCTTCTGTCAAATGTAATGCATAAATTCAGCCATTTTAATGAGGCACATACAGTGTGCTGGGCAGTGTGTGTGGTCCTGGTGATTCAACGGTGAGGAATGTGGTCATGGCTCCATTACCACAGAGCGTTAAAAAGTTACCCCTTCCTATTGCTTCACTCTCATTGCTTCCTTTACCTTCTTTTTAATCTGAAACTTGGTTCTTCCCCAGCCTTTAAATAATGGATGCTTGTTTTCACATGAACTGCTCTTGATAAGAGTCAGAGGTGGTATCAACAGTCTTTTTCTTGCTCTTCACGTGTCTTCCAAGTGATTCCACGTCCATGGTCTCCCAAATCCACCTGTGCTAAAGTCTGCCATTTGGTGATACAGGTTTTCTGCTCACTCTGCCCTCTCTTGAACCTCACTGTTTCTTTCATTCATCACAGTCTTCAACACTTGATATATCAGGGTCCCCCTTATTCTATCCCTGGCTCTTGCCCTGGGCACTTTAGTATCCCAAACTTTGTTCACCTGCAGGCCTGCTTTATCCAGTGACTTCATTTGCCTCAATCTTAATATTATCTTCTTTTTACTTCAGCAACCAAGTACATTGAACATATATTTTAAGGTTCCCTTTAATTATTTGGAGATTCGATTTTAAATTCCACAGGTTTCTGTTCTTCAAATCCTTGTTACTACGATACCACCTCTTAGTCCTAAGCAAAAAGGTTACCTTTATAAGAAACCCTTCTCTGCTTCTTCTCTGGCTACGAGCCTTCTGATGGGCTGAGGCTTTCATGGGGCCAAATGTTAAAGCCCACTCAGAGCCTCTGCGCTTCCTTCTCAGACTGCATGCTGAGTCACAGGATGGACCAGATGTGTTGGTGTGGGATGCAGTCAAGCTGAGAGACAAGATGGCAGGCTGAGAACTGGGGCTGGCTCTTCCTGTGCTGTCCATTCCAGTGTGGTCCTCCAGCCGTTCTGAGTTGTGATAAAGGTAGGTTAGTCAAGAGATGACTAGTAGACATATTTTACATAACAATTATCTAGTTTTCATTATAATTTTTAAATGTGTAGGTATCTAGTGTGGGAATCATCATTTGTACTCTGGCCCTAGGCCTCACAAAGGCTAAGGCAAGGCTGGCCTCGATACATACATTTCACCCACACTCTGATCTCTGGTCCCTTGGCTTCTTCCATTTCATTAATGTCTGTCAGTTTTTCTTAATTCCTAATAATTTCAACTCATATTTGTGTGAACTCAATTCTTTGCCTCCTTTTCTATTTGAACTCTCTCTTATACAAAGCTCGAACTACAAGTTGATTTTACAGTCTGCCTTCTTGGCTTTTGTATTCTGTCTTCTAAATCATGCTGGATAATAATTGACATTGTACATTACTACACTCCAAACTGGTGTGACTTTTTTTTTTGGTCAAATGATCCTTTATTGAAATACTTTCCTTTGTGCTTAACTGGCTGGGCATTCCACAGCACCACTGTTTGTTGATGTCATCTATGATGTCATGAGGGTGGCGGCCATCAGCATTACAGCCCACAGACTGGGCAGTCCCCAGGATCTCTTTAATGATTCCAGAGAGTTCTCTGGCTAAGGATCAGTGCCGCATCTGTCGAGCAATGTTGACGATCTCATCAAAAGTGATATTCCCACTGTGTTTAATGTTTTTCTGTTTCTTTCTGTCTCTTGGTGGTTCCTTGAGGGCTTTGATGATCAGGGCAGAGGCAGAAGGCACCACCTCAATCTGGGCCTGTCTGTTCTGAATGGTCAGTTTCATTGTACTCCTCAGGCCCTTCCAGTCACCCGTTGCCTTGGCAATGTCATCACTAACCTTTCTCGGAGACAGACCCAGGGGGCCGATCTTGGGGGCCAGGGCAGAAGTGGCACCGACCTTGCGTCCGGTGCACCTCAGGTATAAGACTTTGATCTCGTTGGGGTCGAACTTCAGCGGCATGGTGGAGGCGGCTGGTGTCAGATGAACCCGGATTCGGGACGACTGAAGAAAGTTGCACCTTGGCCTCCTCCGAGCCGAAAACCAAGAGCTAGTTGTATAGTATTCTATAGTGTACACGTACCACATTTTCTTTATCCAGTCTATCATTGATAGATATTTAGGTTAATTCCATGTCTTTGCTATTGTGAATAGTGTGGCAATAAATATACACATGCATGTGCATGTGTCTTTATAATAGAATGATTCATATTACTTTGGCCATATTATACTTAGCAAACTAACACAGGAACTGAAAACCAAATACCACATGTTCTTACTTATAAGTGGGAGCTAAATTATGAGAACAGATGGACATGTAGAGGGGAACAATACATATTGGGACCTTTTGGAGAATGGAGGGTGAGAGAAGGGAGAGGATCAGGTAAAATAACAAAAGTGTACTAGACTTAATACCCGGGTGATGAAATAATCTGTACAACAAACCCCCATAACACAAGTTTACCTATGTAACAAACCTGCACTTGAAATTAAAATTAAAGTTTAAAAATTCATATTTGAAAGTCTGGGATTACAGTTTGGGGTAAATATGTATCAGCATGTGGGAAGTATTAATTATGAATATCTTATTTTATAGAGTATAATTTTAAAGTACTGTCCAGAGAGAAGCAGTAAAAAAGGAAGCATTACAAATAGAAGACTGAAATAGCATTTTCAAATATTTGAAAAGGAAATTACAGTCATTATTCGGATTTTGAAAAAGAAGAATTAGCACATTGGTTTATTAAATTCAAATTAGTACAAACATGAAATGAATAGAGTATAATCTATAATGACTTTGAAAAAGATGAAAAAAGAGAATCATAGCTATAAATGTTCAAAAGGAAAATGAACTTGGAAAAGACAAATTTTATGAGCTAGCATAATTTTTGTGACAACTGGGAAAATGCTCAGGGTCAGAAAACTTTCTTGTCTAATAAAAGAAAGAAAACATAAGTTATGAAGGAAAAGAACCAGGTGGTAAATTAAGAGAGTGATTTTAATAAATTTCACATCTAAAGACCTGACTTCTAGAATTTTCATTTGGTGACACAACAAGGTCAATATTTGCTTTGACATATGGCCTTGACCAGGAAATGGTGATAAGGAAAGCAGTAAGAAGTCCCTTTAATGAGAGTGTATCTGTGGTGAAAGAACAGGTGCAAAGATGACTTAGATGCCATTATTTGGAAATTTGTGTATAGCAAGGAAGCTGATCATTTTAAACAGGCTTAATGTGCCTATAATATAACCTTCTGATAGATTTTGTGAATTCAGTTAACTTGAGCTTTTGTCTGATAAATTACATAAAATAGCTTTATTGGTTAAAAAATGTTTAAGTAGCACTTGAAAATACCAGAGGAAATAAGAAAATTAGTAAATTATAGAATAAACCCAATAAGCTTTGGAATGTCATCAACATAAAAAATACCAAACATAAAGTTGTAGGTCCTGAATAAATGTTTTCCAAATACTTATAGACAAATAAAAAGCCTGAAGACATTTTTCATAAGGAAATCCCAGGAGAGGAAAAGAGAAACGTTGGGACTCAGAAATGAAATTTATGAAAATATGGAGCAAAACTGAACCAGGACTCAAAGGAGTGAAAGCAAATAAAAAAAGAAGATAAAGTCACTGCTGGGTTTAGACATAACCATAAAACCTTATGTGATGGGTTATTATTTTCTAACTAATTAAATAAAGAACAAAATCAACAAATGTTCTCTCCCTCAGAACTGTGTTTGGATACTGATAAAGTCACTCATTTTTTAAATAGTTGGTGTCAAGATGAATTGAAAGTGAAAATTGCAAATGAAGTATGAGTGAGAAAGTAACATAATCTTATAATTATTAGGTTTTCTTCTCTCTCTCTCTCTCTCTCTCTCTCTCTTTCTTTCTTTCTTTCAGATGCATTTGGAATTTCTCTGAGTCCTTTCCATGATCTCTAGGTCTTTTGAAAATCAGAGACGGTATGAAAGTTATTGCAAAAACAGAAAACGTTAAAGATAGAAGATGTTAATTTAGAGATCACTGTGGAAAGCAATTTCCCCATTTAATTACTATGGACATTTTTCAGCTTTATTTTTTCTTAGAATTCAAAAGAAAACTTTCAAACATTTTCTAACTGGGGATAATAAATAAGCTGTGTCTCTGGTAGTCTTCTAAACTTTGTGATTTACTCCAAAGTTACACAGGTCTGCTTGAGAGGTTGACTAGATATGCAATAGTACATACTGAGTACCTGGGTGCTGGAACCATGATCTAAGAGCTCATGTGCAATAATGGGCAAATTCAGAGATGCTATTTCTGATTCACTGAATTTTGAGTCTAGTAGGAGTGGCAGTTGTTAATCACACAACCACAGATGAATGTACAATTATCAATGTGACAAATGTTATGAGGAAAGATGGGACAAGAAAATTATACATGTGAGTCTGTTCTCATGCTGCTAATAAAGCATGAGACCAGGTAATTTATAAAGAAAGGAGGTTTAATTGCCTCACATTTCTTCACGTGTTGGGAGGCCTCAGGATAATTACAATCATGGTGGAAAGCGAAGCAAACATGTTCTTCTCATGGCTGCAGGAAGGGGAAGTGCTGAGCGAAGCAGAGGGATGTGCCTTTTCAAACCATCAGATCTCATGAGAACTCACTCAGTATCAGGAGTACAGCATGAGGATAACCCCCACCGTGATTCAATTACCTCCCACCAGGGCCCTCCCATGGCATGTGGGGATTATTATACAATTCAAGATGAGATTTGGGTGGGGACACAGCCAAGCCATATCACTGTATAACATAGACATTTAATTTAATGTTGGGGGTGACAGAAGACTTTTTTGAGGAAACGATCTCTGAGCTGACTTCTAAAGACAAGTTGGAGTCATCTAGGTAAAGGTGGCTAGTGGAGAATATTCTATAAAGGTTACACAGGTAGAAACAAGACACAATTGAAAAAAGTCTCAATGCTTAGGAAATATTCTTTGCCTCTTTAATTATTACTCAAAATAGTATATTTAATTCTACTTCTTATACCTTATAGAAGTGGTAGGTTGCTTATTGAAAATAAACATGACTCAGTAGACAATTTGGGGTTATGTGGCTTCCTGACAAGGCTCTCTGGGCTTTAGTGTCCTACCTAGACAGAGAAGGAATTGGGTCAGATGATGTCTAAAGTACTTTTTTATTTGAAATTGCTGACTCTTTGGTTCATGTAAATAAATATCCAATTAACAGAAACTAGTATGGGTCTTGTACTAATAGTGGCAATAAAGTTTGTTACAAGCATTACATTACTAGCTCATGAAGAAGAGTCTGGTCTTGTTGTAGCTGCTAGTACAATTCTCTAGGAATAGACACTCTAAAATATTTGCTCAGAGTAGCCTTAGTCAAGCAATGGATGCATTCATTGCTAAGTGACCTGTGGAGGAAAATGGTTGTTTGCCTGAATACTAGCTTGATTTCATGATTTGGGGATGAAGGACTTAAAATGATAGACAAGAGGTAAGACACCTGGTAGGTACTGTGACTGTGGGGACTTTGATTAGAATACACACAAAAAAATCAAGTGACTAGCTTAATTTTAATGATATTTTTATTTTTATGCACACACACAAATGATGAATAAGAAGATAATGCATGTTAGCAGTTATATTTATTTATGGAATTTTTCCTTATGTACCTGTCTTGATTATGATACAGAAATTCACTTGAAATTAGTGATAATCCTTCATCAAAACCATGGTTTTTAAAGTTCTATTCAGTGCTGCTCTTTTTCAATCCTGTTGATGAAAATATATCTTTTAAATACTTCTATTTTCTTGTTTTCAAATGACTAGGGGGAATGATGCCAGAATAGCAAAACAAACACCATTTTTCCATGAATATCTGGCTCCTAAAATTGGCTTTGGACAGTTTGTAGAAAAATATTTTTATATCTGGAATTTGTCACTTTTGAAGGTTCTAATCTTGATATGCTGGGTCGCTTTAAGGAGAAAACAAAGAAAGGTGAGATGCTCTGTACTTCAGTGCCCAACTTTAGTGCCAACTACCTTCCCTGCAACAGGTGCTTGTATTGCACATTTGGTAAGCCTTAGAGTTGCTTTTCTCTTTTTTTGCATTGAGTAAAGCCAACCCCATAAGTGTGAGTAGGTGAAATAACACTCCAGAAATAGCATAAATTACTTCTGGAGTCCTGTTAAGATGGCATGGTGAACATTTGTTTTTGTATTTTAATAGAGGATTAAGAGACATCACATATAGTCTCTGTTTTTCTTCTTTTCAAAAACTATTCTGAAGACTAATTGACATGTACACAGTGAGCCACATCACTGATAGGAATCATAGTAATTGACACCTTCTAGAACAGTTAATTTGATCTTGGCTATGTTGATCAATGTATAGAATAATGGAAGGGATGGTTCTGTTTTCCACTAATTTTGTTTTATCTTAGCTGGAACACTTGGCTTAGCATCAGGCTTTAAGAGAGATATTGACAAACTGGAAGACGTTCAGAGGTTAGGGGACTGGAATTATAAAGGGAATTGAAAACATGACAGATGATGCTTCCTTGAAAGAATTATGCTATTGGGTCTATAGAAGGGAAGGCTACAGGGAAGTTTGAGGGCTCATCCTGAACAAACCAAGAGCTTTTGTGTGCAAGAGGCATTTAATTTGTTCCTTGTGAACTTGCAGTTTTAGACTAGACTAAAGAAAGTGAAAAAATATCTAGGAGAATTAGTTCAGATTAACATAAGGAAGATTTTTCTAATCAAACTGCTTAAAATGCTTCTGACTGCCTCTGGAGAGGGAAGACTACGGGATGTAATAATTCCCACATCAGCAGGAGTGTTAGATGGTAGAGAAGAAATTTCAAATCAGATGCCCTTAAAGGTTTCTTTCTATTCCAAGTGTGTCTATAGAGTCGCAGTTTGGTCATCTGGCTACAGTGGATTTAGCATTCTATTTCTACAATGTCCCAAATATTTGAATTTTTTTTTTCTCAGGCCCTTAATAGAAGTTAAACTTTTTCTTAGCATAATTATATACAATGACTTAAATATTCTACATATTTATATATGTAACTCTTTAATGCATAAACTAAT